CGGTTATTTTCATCGTCTGGATTATTTCATGGATTGGGCTTTCCTCTTCCTTTCTTTCCCGTTACGTAGCTGGCTTGGTTGACCTGTCCTGACCCTATTCTTAAGAGCACATGACACAGATCCTTGTGAGCTGCAGAGAACAAGGTTGGGGCTGATGAAGAGGTTAGTTCTGACTGATGTAGACTCTTCTATTGCTCAGTTGCTATAGGAGACAGAGGGTTAGTAGCACTTAGAACCATTAACAAACGTCAATATCTTGAGGACTTTTAATATGCCTATGCTTGGGATACAGGCTATTAATTGTTATAATAGAAAACGCTTGAAATTGATTTGTCCATAATTATACAAGTATTTTATCTGTAGAAATACTTTTCCACATACGCGTTTTGAGGGCGGGAGGGTTGCTTGGTTCTTTGAAAACCTGCAGAACCCCTCAGGGCAAGCTCTTGAGCTTCTCCCGCCTGGGGCTTAAAGCAGTGCTGGCAACCTCGTTGTGCATTCTTCTTGGAGCATCCAGTTTGCTCAAGATTTAGGGAAAATAAAATTATTCTAAAATAGAAATTTGTCATGCATGAAATGCAGAATGTACATATATTTTTAAACATTTATGTATTTAACCAAATATGTATTGTCTCTACTATGAGAGGTGCTGTTCTGGTTATTGGGATTTAAACAGTTATTCCCATATATTTAAAGTTATCTCATTGTGGTTAGTGAGAAAATAACATATATGTTTTAATATGTATATGGGGAATCTTTTTTCCTAGTTTTATTGAGAAATAATTGACATACATCACTCTCTAAGTTTAAGGCATACAACATAATGGTCTGATTTACATATATTATGAATTGATTACCACAGTAAGTTCAGCTAACATCCATCATCTCGCATAGGTACAAGAAAAAGAAAAGAAAGAAGGAAATAAAAAAGCAAGTCTCCTTGTGATGAGAATGCTTAGGATTTACACTCAACAACTTTCCTACATACCATACAGCAGTGTTACCTATAGTCATCATGTTTTACATTACATTTCTAGTGTTTATTTCTCTTATTACTGAAGGTTTGTACTTTTTGACCACTTTTCTCCAATTATGCCCTTCGATTCCCCCCCCCAGCAACCATAAATCTGATCTGTTTTCCTATGTTGTTTTTTTTTTTTTAGATTCCACACATAAGCGTGATCATATAGTGTTTGTCTTTCTCTGACACACTTCACTTAGCATAATGCCTTTAAGTTTCATCCATGTTGTCGGAAATGTAATAAGACTTCCTCATTTTTTATGGCTGAATAATATACCGTTGTGTATATATACCACAACTTCTTTATCCATTCATCCATCAGTGGACATGTAGGTTGTTTCCACGTGCCTTGGCTATTGTAAATAATGCTGCAATGCACATGAGGATGCAGATATCTCGATTTCTTGATTTCTTTTTCAGAAAATTTGTTGTTAGTGTATAGAAATGCTACTGATTTTTGTATGTTAATTTTGTATCCTGCAACTTTGCTGAGTTTATTAGATCTAACAATGTTTTGGTTGTGTCTTTATGGTTTTCTTTATATAAAATCATGTCATTGGCAAATAAAGGCCATTTAACTTCTTTCTTTCCAATTCTGATAACTTTTTTTTCCTTGCCACACTGCTCTAAGTAGGACTTTCAGTCCTATGGCAAATGGGAGTAGTGAGAGTGGGCGCCCTTGTCTTGTTCCTGATCTTAGAGCTTTCAACCTTTGAACATTTAATGTCATGGTAGCTGTGGGCATGTCATATGCGACCTTTACTATGTTCAGATATTTACTTTCTATGCCTAACTTGTCGAAAGTTATGGTCCTAAGTCATTGTTGAATATTGTCAAATGTTTTTTCTGAATCTATTGAGATGATATGATTCTTTTCTTTCATATTGTTCATGTGGTACAATCACGCTGATTGACTTGCATAGTTGAGTCAGCCTTCCATCCCAAAGAAAACTCCTACTTGATCATGGTGTATGACTGTTTTAATGTGCTGCTGAATTTAGTTTACCATATTGTATTGTATCTATGTTCATCACGGATATTGGCCTGTAGTTTTCTTTTTCAATAGAAAATATTCTGGTTTTAGTATCAGGGTAATTGTAGCCTTTAAAAATGAGTTTTGGGGTGTTCCCTTCTCTTTGACTTTTTATTTATTTATTTGTTTATTTATTTTGAAGAGTTTAAGAATGATTGGTTTTAATTCTTCTTTTAATGTTTAGTAAAATTCACCAGTGGTTACCTGGTCCTAGGTTTTTCTTCATTAGATTTTAGGTTACTGATTCAATCTCCTTACTAGTAATTGGTTTATTCAGATTTTCTATTTGTATGAGGAATCTTTTTATGGAATTCCATTTATAAGTATTTTGCCTTCAGAAGCTGGAGAAAATACATCATGATTGTTTTGGTTTCAATGTGGAATTAGCAAACTGTTCACTAAAGAGCCAGGTGGTAAATATTTTAGGCATTTCCAGCCAAGAGGTAAGTCAAGGATGTTCTATAGGTACTCATCCATTATACAATTTATGTCACAACTCCTCAATTCTGCCTTTGTAAAGTGAAAGCAGGCATTAAAAATAAATAAATAAATAAATAAATAAATAAGGGCTATGTCTGTGTTCCAGTAAACGCTTATTTACAAAACCGAGCAGCAGGTCAGATTTAGCCTATGGACCATAGTTTGCCACTTTCTGGTTTAGACCATATGAATCTTTTTTTTTTTTTCCATTTCACTGAAATATGGGTCTAAAAATGGTTTAGCTTTTTTTTTTAATCTTTAAATTGAATCAATAAAATTTAAACATTCCATCTCCTCGTTTCTCCAGCTTTGAGGGGATCTTGGTATAATTACTTCAATGAACAATAGGCCCTGACGTGTGATGTGACAGGCTTGGGAGACAGGCCAGGGGACTGGTGATGGACAGGATGAGCATTGGGCTGAGCTCCAGTGGCTTTTCCCAAGAAGCAAGTGCACTTCTTGCTTGTTCAGATGATGTTTTGATTTCTGATCTTACTTGTTAAACCTTCCCTGGAAGAAGAATCTGAAAACGGAAGACAGAAAGTAAAGTCAAGATAAAAATTGTATGATACTTATATCCATCCTCAGTCATGCTCACCTAGAGGGAGATGCCTGACTGGGACCAAAGATGGGAGACAGGACTGGGACAGATGGTTGGTGACACTGTTTCCTTTCTTTCTTGTGTATGACAATAATGACTAAAAAGTTAGACACTTGCCTTGTTAAGCACCCATTTTAAGAGTGTTCAATTAGATTGAGCCAGGTAGATGGGGTAAGGGAGGGTTTTTGATAAGCTATTGCCATCCTTCAAATAACCCCTCCTGTTCCATTCTTCTGACAAAGCTGAAGAAAGCATTGAGAAGACAGAAAGAAGGAAGGGAGTGAGATAAGGAAAAAAGGGAGAGAAGGAAGAGGAGTAGAGAGGGAGAAAGAGAGGAAGGGAAGGGAAGCCTGTGACTGTCATTCTTGGGCTAGAAGCATGCTGCCTACTATCTTTGGCCAGACCCTCAGAACTCTGAAGGCATTAAGAGGTGGTTCAGGCTTTCTCTTTTCTTCTGTGACTTGGATCACTTCCTCTGGGAAGAAGTTGACAGTTACTGAACAGCCTCTCCTAGTGTACCGTAGAGGCTAGAGATCACCAGTTTGAAACAGTTAGGATCCATTGGATTATCCCCTTTAATATTGAGTTCTCAAACATTAATAAGCATAAGACTCATCTGGGTGGCTTATTAACAGCAGATTCATGAACTATATTTCCAAGAGTTGCAGATGAGTAGGTGTGGGGCAGGGTCCATAATTTCCATACATAAAAGGCCCTCTCTCTCCCAGTGGAATTGATTGCAGAAGCTTGGGGACAATACTGTGAAATATCATAGCTAGTTAAGTTCCAGAATGTTTAACAGTTGAATACAAAGGACTATTAAATCTCATATGATTATTTAAATGATTGTTAAATTTTTTTGTCAATTAGTTGCATGTTTTGCTATAAATTTTAATTATAAAACTTAAGCTATTGCTTTGTAATTCAGACCAAAGTCTCTTGGGAAATCAATAATCAAAATAATAGAATTTAGGGTAGTATTTTTTTTTTATAATCAACAAAGAAGAAATGCTAATAAAAATGTAAATGGATATTTTATACTCTGGCAACTTAATTTTGAATCAATGTATTTCTTCTTTTCTAAAGTTGCATTTAAACTGATATAAGATTTTAAAAAATCAGAATTTCTCATTAAATTCTCATCCTCAAATAAATAATGTTCTGAGAAATAAAAATAATTTATTCCAATTTTAGCCGAAATTGCTGCATTAAATACAATGGTTTGCACTGTGTGTTGATAGCATGTATTTTATGAATAAACCAACTTATTTTTTAAAAATGAAATGCATTATATCGTTCAGGATCTAGGGCGATTTTACAAAAAGCTGTACTCTGAGTCATTGCATACAAGGAAAAACATTGTTTTAAAATACATTCATTTCCTTTTTAATCATTTTAAAACTTGAACTTCAGGATTTTAATGGCCTAAATAAAAGCAGCACATTCTTCTTCCCTTACCCTATTTACAAGTGAGTGCGCCACAATTGTGAATAGATGTTGACTCTACAATGCAAGCACAGAAGAACCCAGATTACCTGATTTACACTTTGCAAAGATTGTTTTAGTTTGGTTCTATCCTTTTCTCATTCACACTTAGGAAGCATTTTAAAAGAAAAGACATCCATGCCTACCCAAACCATTTACATTGTATGCTTTTCTGTTGTCAAAATTTTACATGAATGTCCTTCGTATTTTTCACATATGGACTCAGTATGGGAAATACACAGATCTAACTCCACATTCACATGGGAAAATTAAAATGAAATATAAAGCCATTATTCACTTTATTTGATCTAAATAATTTATTTAAATATTTACTATAAAGGTGAAACACTACTAAAGGGAAAAGAAATAAGGTACACAACCTAAGTTTTCTGCGTTAACTACATCCTCTTCATTGTATAGCTGATCTGATCCACTCTGGTGAATGGGTAGAGAGGTGGACCCTCAGACTTGGGTTTGCTTAAAAGTGAGGAGCTGGAAGCCCTGAAAAGAAAACAGAGACCAAGAATGCTCTGATCACAACTACTCTCTTCATTATTGATACATTAATGAATCAATGAGGTTCATTTAAAACTACAAATGAACCTGAGAACTATACTGACTTCGATATGAATTGATTTAATCAGATGGATCTGGTAGTCCTTCTAAACACCCCACTGAGTTTATCATCCCCTCCCCCATAGGAAATTGACTTGAGTTCCAAAAAGTGCCTGTGAATGAGACCTTATATGGATCAAGTCTTTGCAGATGGAATGAAGTTAAGATGAGGTCACACTGGATTAAGATGGGCCCTAAACCCGATGACTGGAGTTTTTAAAAGAGAGGAAAATTTGGAGACACAGACACACACAAGGAAGAAGGTAATGTGAGGTCAGATACAGACACTTGGGATTACACTGGCACAAAGCAGGCAACATCAAGGATTGCTGGCAACCACCAGAGGCTCAGAGAGACAAGAAAGAAAGAATTCTTCCTGGAGCCTTTGGAGGAAGCCGGCTCTGCCAATATTTTTATTTTGGATTTCTAACCTTCAGTATTTTGAGAGAATAAATTTCTGTTGTTTTAGCCACCTGGCTTGTAGCATTTGTTATGGCAGCCCTAGGAAATGAACACATCCTCATAGGTTTCACTTGGATTTGGGTAAGGATAGTTAGGGTAATGGTGGGATGCTACAGTGATGTGTTCTTGAATAACAAGAAGGCTTAAAAATTCAATTCACAATATATATTGGTTCTGACTAAATGTAAAATCTATTTATTTATTTGTTTATTTATTATAAAGCGCATGTTATATAACATTTCTATGTTCACTGGGCTCTTCCCCTAGACCTCATTCAGGTGTTTAAGCCACTCTGCCTACTACCTCAGCTAATGTTGCAGGGTTGAAAGCCTATGTGCCTCCTCCTGGCTGTTATTTTCCAGAAGCCCAGAGCCTCAGGAAAGCAAGAGGGAATCTAGATGCTGACTACCATTCTCTTAGCCTTCTTCATTTTGTTCTAGTCACTCCAGACTTTTGTCAGTTCCTGAAAGTGCTTTCCCATCTCGATGTGTAATGTCTGTTGGCTGGCAGGGCACGTCACATATTCTAGTGTAGGTGAATGCGTGGGAAGCATTTGAGCTTAAACTACATATTCTCTCTGCTGTAATGCGAAGATGTTTCTCTTCAAATTCCGTATACTGAGGGAATACACAATTATTATGTGCTATTTGATGTGATATGAAACCTAACTACATCTATAGTTTAAGATTTAACAGCCTTGGACTGCAAATTCAGTGAGTCATATGTAATTATAAGCCAAGTTATCAATTTAACGCTGCTAACAACAAATCTAACTTAAAGATGGCTGTATTGTTGCAAAGTGTGTCTCAAAAGCAGACTCATGGCCCATTTGGGGTAGCTTTAAAGGAAAAAAAAAAGTATAACTCTTTTAANACACTTTAGTTTCTCATTTAAAAAAATTTTTTTAGGGTTGCTATGCACTTATTTGTAAAAACAGTCCCATTTTGTAACTAGAATTAATAAGAAGCCTTAAGTCTCCACTAAATATCTATTCATTTGACAAATACAGATGATCAAGTTCGTGAACTTTTCACCATATAAGTGGACAGTAGAGAGTTCATGAACTTAATTGTCTGACTTTGTACATTCTGATTGTTTAAATCTTAGTTTTGGGAGTTATATAATGACATGTGAGAAAAAAATATTTTCTCTAATTGTTCATCTCTGTTATGCTTAGCACATGCTAAACACTCAGGAAATAGTATCTGAGAGAATGCACATATCAAAGTATAGTGATGTTTAAGCTAATACAGGAAAATTAGTATAAATGATAGATTATTTAAAATTTTTAAAGTTCTAGCATGCTTAAAGAGGTTAATTTTTTTTTAATCTAGCAGTCAGAGCTCAGATCAATGATAGTGACCCAAGAAAAGCACAATTTAATTCAGTATGAAGGACTCTACTATAGTTATAGCTACTAGAAAGTGGAATGGGAGCCTGAGGAAAGAATATGCTGTCTGTAAACGAAAGGGTTCAAGTGGAAATCATGTGGCTACTCAACAAAGATGCAATACAGGTGCTGAACCCTGACTGACAGGTGAACTAGGTGACATTACTAGTCTATGTTTCCATTTAAATGATCAGTAAATGCTTCCAGAGAACAGAAAAGAATAAACAAATGGGCCATTAGTTCCTTTTATATTACTTGCTACCCATAAATGTTATCCTTAGGTTTGCAACTCCGTGATTTTGGCCTATGCTGGTTAATTAATAGCCAAGACAATCTATTTATTTATGAGAGGCAAAACCCTTATGCGGACTTATGCATTCTGAAATATTAATATATGTGACTCACCCATTCATTTATTCAGCAATGTTTTTTAAAATGCTACCATATTTGCCGGCGTATAAGACGACTCGGCGTATAAGACNCCATATGACCACAATGCCATTATCATGCCTCACAAAGACAATCATTGCACACTTCTGAATTGCAAGAAACCTACATTCTGTAACTGCCAGGTCTTGTTGCCACCATGTGTCTTTTAATGTCTGAGTGTAGACAGTTTCTTTTATTGTGATGGCTAAAAAGAGAAGCCAAGTAGAGGAAAATATTAATTGAGAAAACACAAGTGTGCTTGGTAGACAAAGATTTCTAAGTTGAGATTAAGGACTAGAAACAAAGTCAAGAACTCTGTGGTCAAAAGTAGGCTTTTCATATAAAGAAACAGAGTCCCTAGTTTATTCTAGCTATAAATTAAAGTCCAAACAAACTATATTCCTAATTATGAAAGGCAAAACCACATAGCCATAAGCCAATGGAAGAAAATATAGAAGAACATCTCTGTGATCTTAAGATAAGAAAACATTTCTTAAACTATATATAGCGCAACTTAAATTGTGCTTTTAACCATTATAGCAAATTAAGGATTTCTGTTCAAAGACAAAGTTAATGGATACGTAAAAAATTGAGGGAAAATAATACCTAAGTCTAATGCATATTTAAAGTAGAAAAAATTAAAAGCGAATTTGAAATTAAAAGAAAGAAGACTATAGCTAACACATATTTGGAGACAAATATAAATAAAAGGAACACAGAACATTTCAAATTGCAAAAAAAGAAATGTGAAAATACTGAGTTTTAGCAGTTACCTTGCTATCTGGGGGATAGGCTGGTATATTAAGTTCATAAAAGGAACCTATGAGGGGCCGGCTGAGTGGCGCGATGGTTGGGAACTGGCTTGGGATGCCGGAGGGCCCGGGTTCGGATCCCACATGTGAGGGCCGGTGACGCTGCCCTCCACGGCTGAGATGCTGAACAGCAGCTCAACCTGGAGCTGGGCTGCCATGGGTCGCCGGCGACGGCGTGGGCTGCGGCCCCTGTGGTGGTAGGTTGCCGTGGGTTGCCGTGGGCTGCCGTGTGTAGCCAGCAGCCAGCAGCCAGAGTGAGCGGCCAGCAGCCGCAGTGGGCGGCTGTCCGGAGGCCGGTGACTGGTCTGCCTCGCCCGGGAGAAGCGCGGTGATGGTGCCAGCTTGGGCCGGTGGGGCAACGTCCTCCACAATTAGATTGAGGAACAAGGGCAACAGCGGCTTGTCTGTTCCCCTTCCCCCAATTCCCCAGCACTGTTCCCATCCCAATTCCCCAATAAAAAAATCTTTAAAAAAAAAAAAAAAGGAACCTATGATTTAGAGTACTCTATGCCCCAGTGTGCCCAGACTGGGAGACATAGCAACTCTACCTAATACATAGAAACAAACACAGGGAATCAGCCAAAATGAGAAGACAAAGAATCATGTCTCAAATGAAAGATCAGAACAAAACTCCAGAAAGACAACTAAACAAAATGGAGACAAGCAATTTATCATACACAGAGTTCAAAACACTGGTTTGTAAGAATGCTCAATGATCACAGTGAGGACTTCAGCAAAAGATAGGAAACATAAAAATGAAGATAGACAACATAAAAAGGATGAGTCAGAAATGAAGAATACGATAACTGAAATAAAGAATACATTAGAGGAAATCAAAACAGAATAGATGAAGCAGAAGATTGAATCAGCAATTTGGAAGATAATGCAGTGGAAAACACCTAGTCAGAACAGCAAAAAGAAAAGAGATCCAAAAAAATAAGGGTAGTTTATGGAGTCTTTGGGACAACATAAAGCATACCAACATTCACATTATAGGGGTGCTAGAAAGAAAAGAGAGCAAGGGATTGAAAACCTATTTGAAGAAATAAAGGCAGAAAACTTCCCTAACCTGGTGAAGAAAATAGACATACAAATCCAGGGAGCATGGAGAGTTCCAAACAAGATCAACTCAAAGAAACCCCCACCAAGACATATCATAATTAAAATGTCAGAGATTAAAGACAAAGAGAAAATATTAAAAACAGCAAGAGAAAAGCAGTTAGTTACCTAAAAGGGAGCTCCCATAAGACTGTCAGCTGATTACTCAACATAGGCTTTGCAGGTCAGAAAGGATTAACATGAATTATTTAAAGTCATAGAAAGCAATGACCTACAACCAAGATGACTCTACCTAGCAAAACTATCATTTAGAATCAAAGGACAAAGAGTTTCCCAGATAAGAAAAAGCTAAAGGAGTTTATCATCACCAAATCAATATTACAAGAAATATTAAAGGGACTTCTATGAGGAGGAGGAGGAGGAGGAAAAGGGATAAAAACATGCATAATAAAGTGGCAATAACTATGTACCAATGATTAAATGTGTAAATGTATTAAATGTGTTAAATGTATCAAAAGACAGGGTGGCTGAATGAATAAGAAAGCAAGGCCCTTAAATAAGCTGCCTACAAGAGACTCACTTCAGAATGAGAGACACACACAACCTGAAAGTAAAGGGATGGAAAAAGTTCATTAAAATGGAAATGGAAAAAAAAAAAAAAGAGGCTGAAGTAGCAATATTTATACCCAACAAAAGAGACTTTAAAACAAAGGCTATAACAAGAGACAAAGAAT